TTTTGCTGAAAGATATATTTCATGGACTAGAGCACTCCAGAGTAGAGAACACAGAGTGAGGTAAAAGAAGTCCAGAAAAGAGAAGGAAGGCTAACAATACATCCAGACACACACCTAGAAGTCTGCACACAGACAGGAGAAACAGCCAGATTTTCTCATCCTGAGCTGCTAGATTACGTCCAATCCATTCAAGACTCTACTAGATGCTGTCAGCAGGGGCAGTTATGAGTCTGCACCAGAGAATCTATGCAATTGCAACTTTACTTGCTGGGGAATTCTCAACCATATCCCTGAAACAAAGGAATGAGATGTGCCCATCTCATAGTATAGTATACAGTTTTATTATTAGACAAATTTAGCAATGATTATTTAATTGTGATCCTTCTGCAGCTATGTCTATTTTTTTTCAATTCTATGAAGTGAGAGTTGCATATAAATAAATTTTGAATTTTAGATCATTTAACTGAACTCTATTCAATTTTTGCAGCGAACGCTCTACTTACCACATTTAGCATAGGGAAAGTTTGCCCGGAATATAAAATATTCATTAAACTTCTAAAAATATACAGATGATAGGAAATATCTGTCTATAATATGCATTCAAGCCAGTCAACTCCTAAATCCTCTTGTGAGATTATCAGATACACCCTATATTCTTTAATCTGTTTAGGCTCAAATTAAGACACTGTTAGGCTCGGGGCGGCTGGGTGGCTCAGATGGTTAAGCGTCTGCCTTCGGCTCAGGTCATGATCCCAGGGTCCTGGGATCGAGTCCCGCATCGGGCTCCTTGCTCAGCAGGGAGTCTGCTTCTCCCTCTCCCTCTGCTGCTCCCCCTGCTCATGCTCTCTCTCTGTATATCTGTGTCTCAAATGAGTAAATAAAAAAAAAAAAATCTTAAAAAAAAAAAAAAGACACTGTTAGGCTCAAATTAAGACACTCAAATCATTATCACTTGGATTTGTAGTAAACTTGCTCAAAGAGATTTCCTCTGACAATGTGAAACACGTATTTGATCTACGTATAAGGACATTAAGCCCTCCATGTAGTCCAATGTCCTTCGCTTTTTACTGGTAAGAAAACCGAACTACACTACAGATATGTCTGTATGTTAGTGATGTCCAGAAAGCCTGCTGTGAAGTGCATTCCATGCTCTAGTTTGAGGTCTGTGACACCCCCTCACCTCCACACAACTAAGCAGAGACCCTACATTCAGCCTGCTGAAAACACAGTACTGTGGTTCTTGTCCAGCTACCTTGCCCTTCTTAGTAAAACTATTCTAAGTACATTGAAAACATTGGTTTTGACCAACTTGTACAAAAAATTAGCACAATCTAAACAGTATACAGTAAGATGTGAAAGTCTCCCGGTTCTAATGGCCTTCCATAGTCCCATTCCTCAGGGGTCACCAGTGCCAACAGGTTGGTGTGTCTCTTTCCAGTCCTTCTATGTTTGTATAAATACATAATTTTTTTACAGAAGTGATATAATGCCATGCATAGAGTTCTGGACCTTGCTTTTTCATTCCTAAGTTAGAAACGAGACGTGAACAGTCGTCTATTTAATATAAGAGAAAAATATAATATGTTAAAAAGATATTTCAGATTCTAAAAGTAAAGAAAGGCCTGGACAAGCCAGAAATCAGTCATTACTCGACACGGATTCAAATTCTCCTTCGAGTTTAGACTACTTTCTTCTAGGTTAAGAGAAGTAAAACACTAAACCTAACTACATCCAAAAGAAAATGCCAAACATCTAACCACAATTATACACCACCTTATATTATGGGTCTTTTGTTTTCCATAAGTAGTATCTTCTAGTCTATATATTTCTTGGAATGGAAATACTATTTAGACAGAATATTCTATTTAAGGAAACAGAATAAATTCAGTATTTAAAGCCTCTTTCACTTTGGTATATTCAGCCCAGCATCTAATAGTGACTCTTGTGTGTCCTTTCTTGCTTTTATCCAATGCAGCTCTTCAGCTAAAGCTTCTAGGTTTAAAAACACTTGAGATACATCAATATAAAATTTTCAATTTCAAGTTGCTTTAAAGTATGAAGGAAAGGAAACAACAGAATATTTTTTCGAGTCCAAGAAATAAAGACTATATTTCAACAGTGACTACTTCTAGGACGAAGTGGCAAAAGTCCATCCATTTCTAATGATCATGTTGCTTGAAGTTACAAAAGTCTAACAACACAAACAGAAGGCAAATGTGTTGTCTTTGAGTATGGCTGACAGAAAACATTCCCTTAGTTTCAGATGTACAACACAGTGATTCGACAGCTGTCTACATTACACTATGCTCACCACAAGTGTAGCTACCATCCACCACCATATAATGCTATTACAAACCATTGACTCTATTCCCTATGCTGTACCTTTTATCCCTGTGACTTCTTCATCCATACCTGGAGGCCTGTATCTCCCACTCCCCTTCCCCCATTTCGCCAGTCCTCTGGAAACCATCAGTTTGTTCACAAACAGAAGGAAAATTTTAACGTCTCATATAATTGTGGGCTATGTGTTCATGATCTCAAAAAAAAAGAAAAAAGAAAAAGAAAAACCAAATGACTCATTTTTTTTCCCCACTGAACTGTCTTTTTTTAGGCATTGTCATAGAAAATTTAAGGTTAATAGGAAGAAGGAAATTCATTTTCTGAAATCCTTAAATTAAATGCAGTTACTATGGAAAGAACTAGATTTTAGTGCTGACATTCCCAGGTTTATAATTCACGCTTTTATAGCAGTGTGACAAACAAACCTTGCTCACCTTCCTATAATAACTTTAAAAATGGGATTGTCAACTCGTATTTACCAACCCTGTCATTTCCCAGCATAATTACAGCATACGTCCCAAACAGAAAAGTTGTTTTTAACCTATGTTAAAAAAACACAACTGTGGGGCGCCTGGGTGGCTCAGTCATTAAGCGTTTGCCTTCGGCTCAGGTCATGATCCCAGGGTCCTGGGATCGAGCCCCACATCGGGCTCCCTGCTTGGCAAGAGCCTACTTCTCTCGCTCCCACTCCCCCTGCTTGTGTTCCCTCTCTCACTGTCTCTATGTCAAATAAATAAAACCTTTAAAAAAAAAAAAAACACAACTGAACGAGTAATACCTTCTCCTTCCCCTCCAGCCTCTGTTTCTCCACCCCTCCGATAGCCAGCAAGGATCTGCATGGTTTCTTCACATAATTGTATAGCCCTTCACAAACAACCTTAGCCGTAATGATTCCATTTCAATAACGCTGGCTATTTGCTGTATATTTTTAAATGGCTGATGATAAAGTCATGGGCTCTCTTACAGACAGAGGTTATGATTTTCTTAGTAATTGTTATTAATAATATTCTATATGTACAAACATTCAAGGGCAAGTCCTTCCTTCTGAGATTGCAGCTAATCTGACATTTAAGTGATGACAATACTGGAAGGAACAGAAACACAGAGCTCAACAAGATAAGCTGTTACGAACAAAATTCGGTCTAAGATGTGGTCAAAACCAACTTACTTGGGCCATTCATAAAATTACTTAAATTTAAGAATCTTAAAACTAGGGTGCCTGGGTGGCTCAGTCAGTTAAGTGTCTGCCTTCGGCTTAGGTCATGACCCTGGGGTCTCGGGATTGAGCCCTGCATCGGGCTCCCTGCTCAACGGGGAGTCTGCTGCTCGCTCTCCCTCTACCCCTCCCCTGCTGCTCATGCTCTCTCAGGCTCTCTCTCTCTCTCAAATAAATAAATAAAACCTTCAAAATAAATAAATAAAATTTTTAAAAAAGAATCTTAAAACTAACTTATCCTGCAATTTATACAGTTATATGGTTTTATATGTATAAAATATACAAACATAATATAATAAAAACTGGCCTGAAAGGAATATATCTTTTTTCTTTAAGTGAATACCCCTGGAATGAATAGTGATTTTTATTCTTTTTTTTGTGCTTGAATGTACTTTCTAAATTTTCCACAGTGAATATTTACTATTTTTTTTTTCTTTTTTAAAGTAGGCTCCTTGCCCAGCATGGGGCTTGAACTCACAACCCTGAGATCAAGACCTGAGCAGAAATCAAGAGTTGAACACTGAACCAACTGAGCCACCCAGGTGCCCCAATATTACTATTTTTAAAGCAAGAATAAAAGAAGAAAGAAAAGAAATGCATGCCTATCTACTAAATCCATTGTACTGCTACCCTTCATCTGTAAAATAAAGTCCAAGTTGGCTAGGCTTGTGTTAAAGCTCTTGGAAGCTGGTCACACATCTTACCAGCCCAATCTTATTTCTAATGAACACCCAACTCTGTTTTAGACGGTCACCAGGCCTGTCATGGGCCATGTAGATTAGCCTCAGGCTCTTCTCATCAGGCCTAAAGCTTCTCCTCTCCTCTAGCATTTCTGATCATAACTCCTGATTGTAGTCATTTTAGGCCAACTTCAGAGATTCATGATGCTCTAAACCAAGTCTGGCAATCATACAAAAATCATTTTGGGCCCTGATTCCAATTAATTCAGCAAAATAATTTAGAAGGAAGCCCTGCTGAGGGCAAGAATCTCATCAATATTTGTTAAATGAATGAACACAATCACTACTGTGATCATAACAGGATTGGCAAGGAACATTTATTGAGAGCTTTGTATTTATAAGAAGGCACTGTGTCCAAACTTCACTGATCTCATGTAATGCTCTAAACAATCCTCCATTTCACAGATGAAAAAATTGAGCCTCAGGTAGGTTATGTATATTTCCCAGGGAGGTATAGTCAGTGTTGACTTGGGATTCAAATCCAGCTGTGTCTGATACCACTATGCTCTACACTATCAAATTTGCTAATGGAAGGTCTACTAGAAATCATTTTGCCTATAATATATTTTTTTAAATTAATCTGAATATCCATGAAGCTAAGTAAAAATGATGTGTTGAATTACCAAGTTTTCTTTTACATATAAAAATAGATACAAAAACAATAAAATTTTCTGTTGAATCTCAATACATAATGAAATGTTTACCTGTATAGGACCAGCCAATCTCTTCAACGAGTTTTCTCTGTTGTCTGTAGTATCCATAAGCCCAATCTACAACCAAGAAAAATCAATTGATCAATGTGTAGAAAAATATGTGTCCAAATTAAAAATTTATCAGATGCCCAAATCATTCATACCACAGATGGTCCTCAATACTCCTTCCCATGTCACCTTTCCGATGACTCCTCTCAATGCCAAACACCATCATTATAGTCTCTGTCATTCCTGTTCTCATAGTTAGTATAAATTTTAGGGGGCACATTTAAAAAATGCTGAAGTTCAGGGAGGGACAAAGCAAATATTCTGGGTAAAGCAGGAGCAGCCTAGAGGGGTTCATCCCAAAGAAAAATGGGTCAGAAAGAATAACTTGTCTTATCTTTAAATTTTTCTTAACAACATTCCCTAAGTCAAGTATCTGAGATCCTGTTGATTAGAGATACTTTTAGGTTTATAAACAAAGTTTGATCCATCAATGCATCTGGGATACCCAGATGTTTTCAAAATTTGTTTCCTTCTGCCAAAAAGTGAAATTAGCCACCTTAAGGAAATGAGAATTTAAGTGTGTAAATGTTGGGTGGGAGAAAGGCTATGTTAAACCATGTAGGTGACTTTGTCTCTTAGAGGAACCTAGATGCCCAAGTGAGGTAATATAGTGGGGAGGTTAGACATCATAAAAGTGGATGCCTCATGACCCCAAGAGAGTGATTCTAGAACATGGGGCAAAATAGAAAGGAAAATGGATGGAAGCCAAAGTCTCACTCTGCATGATTCAAAATTTTGCCAGGAGCCACACCTGTACTCAAGAAATTGGGATGTGATAATTCATCCTTCTTTCTGTGCCATTGCCTGTTAATCCCAGGCTGTACTAACATTAGCACTCCATTTCCATTTCAGCTACACTGTGGGCAAAATAAATCTTTGTGAGCTAGGCTTAAAACCTGATCAGTGTTGGGCGCCTGGGTGGCTCAGTTGGTTAAGCGACTGCCTTCGGCTCAGGTCATGATCCTGGAGTCCCGGGATCGAGTCCCACATCAGGCTCCCTGCTCAGCGGGGGGTCTGCTTCTCCCTCTGACCCTCCTCCCTCTCATGCTCTCTGTCTCTCATTCTTTCTCAAATAAATAAAATCTTAAAAAAAAAAACAAACCTGATCACTGTTGACAAAACATTCTGTAGAAAAGGTTGCAGAATAGCTAGTTTACAAATAAATATGTGGGACATTACTTATTCATAAATGGAGTTTCTGTCAATATAGGTTTCATTTGAATACAGGGATTTTAAACTAGATCATACCATACCTATACTTAAATATAGGTATGATCTTTCTCATCATTTGGGAAAATAACTATTTCTTCTTATTCTTGCTACACAGTTGTTTTCTCTTTATTGACAATTCTCAATGTCAGGAATGCAAATATCTAAGGACACTGCAGAAATTATTTTCCTTTCATCTGTGTTATATACTCTCTAATTAGCACAGCATGATAATAAATAACTGCTAAACTATTCCATAAAAGCTAAAAAGCAGATCTGCTATCGGAAATACATACTCTGAAACTGATCATTCAAAACCAGAACTTACTTTCAAGAAATAAGGTTTTTCTTTTTGTTGTAAAACTTTGATTGTTCATAAATATAGGTAAATATTCTATTGTCGGTATAGCACATTACAGCACATTTTTATTTTTATAATAGCTTTATTGAAATACAATTTACACATCATACAACTCACCCATTAGTGTATACAATTTAATGGTTTTCAGTATGTTCACAGACTTATGCAATCATCACCACAATTTTATTTTATTTTTTTAAAGATTTTATTTATTTATTTGACAGAGAGAGAGAGACAGAATATGAGCAGGGGGAGTGGCAGGCAGAGGGAGAGGGAGAAGCAGGCTCTCCGCTGAGTAGGGAGCCTGACGTGGAGCTCGATCCCAGGACCCTGGGATCATGACCCAAGCCGAAGGCAGACACTTAACAACTGAGCCACCCAAGCGCCCCATCACCACAATTTTAGAACATCTTCATCACCTCCATAAGAAATTCCACAACCTTTGGCTGCCTCAAGGCACCCCCAATCCCACCCCCATGTCCCACTGGTCTAGACAACCACTATCTACTTTGTTTCTACAGATTTGGATATTCTAGACATTTCATATAAACAGGATCACACAATATAGCCTTTTGTGACTGGCTTCTTAAATTTAGCACAATTCATGTTTTCAAGGTTCATCCATGTTGTAGCATATATCAGTACTTCATTCTTTTGGATTGCCTAATAGTACTTCATTGTATGGTAACCAAGATGGTCTTAATGTTTCTTTCAGCTTGATTAAACTTTGGACAGGCTTCTTCCTGACTCTAGGCCCTCTGGTCCCCCCTTTCTCAGAGCATTTGGTTTAGGAAACTTGTAATTGTAAATTCCTTCTCTGCCCCTTTGAGATATAAATCTTTTTTTAATAGCCACATGCCAGTTTTACAACCAGGTTTGCACTACTCAAGGACATGGGAACCATATCTTTGAAGGGAAATAGGACCCTTATCTCCCAGTTTCTGTGAAAGGGTAGGAGTTTAATTTTGGTGGTGTGCCTTGCTCCAAGTTGCAAAAACTACTTCCTGTCATGAAGATACGAGTTTATCTTTCCTTTGGATAAAGCCAATTAGCAAACAAATGGCCTATAACCTCCTGCTAATGTCATGCATTACTGTTCCACTGGGGCTCAACATCAGCCCTTAAAAAAACTTACCCCTCTACTTCATTAAAGTTGAGTTCTGACTTGGTTCTGGCTTCTCTCCTCATTGCAACAATCCTGAATAAAGTCTCCCTTGCTTGTTTAACTTTTTCCAGTGAGTTTTTTGTTTTGACAATGGATATACCACATTTTATTTGTCCATTCATCAACTGATGGATACTTGGGTTGTTTCTTCTTTTTGGCTATTATGAATAACACTATTAATATTCAAGCCTATGTTTGTTTTTCTATTTAAAAAATAATAGTAGGTTCATAATTTATTTTTCAAATACAGTTGTCACATAAAATGGTAATCATTTAAGGTTAAATTCTGGGAGCAAGTGTTTCTTCATGATCAAGAAATATATACAATTAGATATTAGAAAGGGCCTCAAAGGTCATTTGAGTGAGACTTTAACAGTCTACAAAAATATAATTCCTATGGGGCGCCTGGGTGGCTCAGATGGTTAAACGACTGCCTTCGGCTCAGGTCATGATCCCAGGGTACTGGGATCAAGCCCCACATCGGGCTCCTGGCTCAGCGGGGAGCCTGCTTCTCCTTCTCCCTCTGCCTCTCTCCCTGCTCATGCTCTCTCTCTCTTGCTCTGTATCTCTGTGTCTCAAATGAATAAATAAAATCTTTAAAAAAATATATATATATAATTCCTAGAAATAAGGTAATTTATGCAGCCAAAATGTAAATGGTTTGTATGGTAGTAAGTGGCAAAATGGGAAGCAATAAGGCATGGCTCCTGCCTTCCCCAATATCAAGGACCCCTAACAACCTTGACCTATTGGTTACTCTCTTAAGGAGCTTTGCCTGAGGAACCCTTATAACATGTATGCTTTCAAGAAAAACAAGGTAAAACAAAACAATACGGTGGCCTAGAATTTAACCAGAAGAAATTATTTGAACAAATAAATTATAAAGAATTGATTATACGTTTTTTGACCTGGCTGTCAGTTGAAATTTTCCTCTGAAATTTTGCACTGGTCAGAAGGAAAATATGTATTGTCATTTATTATATGTTTTAAATATAAATATTTTTTAAAAGTAAGACATTTTGTCATATAAATGCATGTTGAAGATTTCAGAAGATCAAAACCTACATTTAACAAGTAATCCATTGAAATAAATAAAAAGTAAGCTCTTTTAATGATTCAGTCTAAAAGATGACAGCAAAATATCAGCAGATTTTAGCTTTCCTTGTAGGGCTTTATCACTACACAATGAGCATTTGTCCTTGGTTTTTAATTACTTACATTAAGAAAGCTTTATTCAATACAGGATTCCCAGGTGTTGGTAGCTCTCTTCAATTCCTTTATGTATTGTTCCCTTAATTGTTACTTCAAACAATCCGTTACACATTCATATGCTAATTACATAGTCCTTGGGCGTGAGAGAGTACCCCACTTTTAAAATTCTACTTAGAGGTCTGATAGATGAGATGTGATAGCTTCAATGAACAAGAAAAAAGAAGCTAGGTTCACTTTTTTTTGTTGTATTATATACTTGAAAACCAGTAAATCCTATATAAAATGAATCTATCAAAGTGCTTACACGTTTTTAAATCAATTAAAATAATGAAATATAGAATGTTTTTTGTGGCTTCTGTGAATTTAAGTTTCTTTCACTTTTATGTTTTGTTTCTTTCAATTTAAAAGTATTTGCCAGGTCTGTTTTGGCATGAGTGTTTTGTAGTGAAAAAACTAAGGAAGAAGTTTCAGGAATGAATTGTACGTGCAAAGTACAGGCAAATATACATTATTAAATTTTTTAAGGCTACTCTAAAATTTGTCCTGAAAAAATATTCTTCATGAAATGGCCTTTTGACCTGCTACCAAAATTAGGAGAAATCTCAGGCACCCTTAAATGTTCCTGTTTCAACATATTCCATCTTGTACCTACCTTAAGCACCTACAGATATGCAAATATGGATGTGTGTGTGTGTGTGTCCTTTATTTTTCCTTACATTCAGATGATGGAAATCAAAGTCTACCACATAGAAGATAATAGATTAACCTAGCTTTTTCTTTTCTTTTCTCTTTTTACTCAAGTTCTTTTTAAAACAACAACAACAACAAATCTGGATGCTCACTTCCTACTAAAAATATCATTATAAATATTTTTAGTTATAGGGGCTGCTAGCTGGCTCAGCCGGTGAAGCACGTGACTCTTGATCTCAAGGTTGTGTGTTAAAGTCCCTTGTTGGACCTGGAGCCTCCCTAAAATTTAACAAAAATAAAAAAATAAAAAAAGTTTGAATTATAAAAATATCTGATTTTTCCCTAAAGTCTCTGCTTCATGTTGAATAATAA